GCTTATGAAAATTTACTTAGCTTGTATGAGCTAAAAAAACAACTCTTAAAAGATATTTGAGATTTGTTGATAATTTATTCATTTATCATTTTCATTTTTTTTTTATAAATGACATCAATATTCAAATGGAATATATATTTTTATTAATGTTGTGGCTGGACCTATATTAGGCTGCCTTTGTACCCGTTTAGGGATCAAGCCTCCAATAGTTTAGTCACTTAAGAGCGATTAGTGAGGTATTTTAGTGGTTCCACCTCATACCGATACCATTGATGGTTTATATAAGCAGTTTAGCCATGTGCAGACATGGTGGATTTTACTCATTGGTTTAACAACATAAAAGGTATCGGTAGGTCTTCATTTAAGCTTTCTTTTTGTTTAAGCGTAAAAGCGCTTAATGAATTTACCATTTACACATCGGTAGTTTACTTGACCTTCAATGACTACATATGGATCCTCCCATTTGGGTTCGAATTTCCCTGGAGTTTTCCTTGTGACTACGATAGGTCTTCTGACAGTTAGGACTAAATCTCTCACTACAAATGACCAATATCTCACCCTTTTATTAAAGGCACCTGCAACTTGGGCTTGGTACACTTGAAGCCTTTGTTGTGCTATGAGCCTCTTCTCATCAAGGGCTTCTAATTCAGCAAGTCTTATCCTTACATTCTCTTCTGCATGTGTGAATTATGTTGTGATCCTTAAAGAAGGTAGCTGAATTTCTAGAGGAAGAACAGCCTCTGCTCCAAACACCAAACTATATGGCGTGCATCCTGTAGCCGTCGGTTTTGTGGTATAATAAGCCCAAAGAGCTTTAGGGAGGCGCTCATGCCAGTCTCTTTTTTTTTTTGAAACCATTGTCTTAAGTATTTTGCAGAGGACTTTGTTAAAAGCTTCTGCTTGTCCATTTGATGTTGGATTATAAGCTGCCGATGTAGTATGTTGGAATTTGTATTTCTTAGATAACTTCATCATAGCCTTATATTTAAAGTACGAGACATTATCTGATATAATTTTGGAGGGAATTCCATATCTGTATATGATATGGTTTTGAATGAAGTTGGCAACATCAATTGCCCTCACCTCCTTTAGCGGAATTGCCTCTGCCCAGTTAGAAAAATAATCTGTAGCAGCCAAGATATATGAATGTGATTTTGAAGGTAGTGGTTTAAAAAGACCGATGACATCTAGGCCCCAAGCCTCAAATGGCCATGATAATGTTGTAGGGTGAAGAGGCATGGGCGGTTGATGTATGAAATCGCCATGAAGTTGACATACTTTTGTTTTTTTATTTTTTCAGAAACGATAACTTTCATTAGAGATAAATTAAATTGAAATACAGAAGTCAACCCTTATTAGAAAAGGTTGATCCAATAAACATCAAACATTACAACACTGCCCAATAAAGTCTCTCCCTTACTGTCCCTTGTTTTGCTAGGGTGTCAGCAAAACCATTTGCTGATCTCCTTACCCACTTGAAGCAAACACCCACCTCCCTTGTTGTGCTAAGAATTTCCCTTATCAGCTGTCTATATTGCCAAATTCCCAGCTGCCCTAATTGCATCCACCCAATTACCCACTTGGAGTCTCCCTCTATCTCAATCTGCTGTAGCCCCAATTGTTTGGCCAGTTTTACACCTTGATGTAGTTCATAGATTTCCGCTCTTAAGGAATCTCCAATTCCTACTGGACCTGAATACAGAGCCACTATCTTGCCTTCATTATCTCTGAACCCGGATTACCTATAGAGCTTCCATGAAAGTTTAGTTTCACCCTTTGTTGTGCAGGTGGGGACCAAACTTCCTATATCGTAGCTTTGGGAGTAGTAGTAGATGCCACAATACCCCAACTTGTATAAATGTCTTCAGCTGAGAAATCCTTAAAAAGATCACAGGATTTCAACCAATGGATAACCTTAGTAGTTACTCCTTCCATAACCTCTTCCTTGGATCTACAACTACCTTTGAAGATCCTATTCTTTCTTTCCTCCCACACTGACCACAATACAACAGCTCTAGTGGCTCTCCACATAATCCTTCCACGAACTGTTGGCTGCCTACAAAAATCTGGATCAAAGAGGTTCACCATGCTCGAGGAGGGAGTCCAATTGCAGCCAAATAGAGAAGAGAACCAAGTGCAAATAAAGAACACAAAGGGACATGAGATTAGTAAATGTGAAATTGTCTCACCAGAACCCAAACAGAGACAACAAACATGGGGGGAGGCACATATTTGGCCTYTTTTTCTGCAATAAATCCAAGGTGTTGATTTTTTGGAGTGCCACTTCCTTGCAAAAGGCCTGAATTTTTGGGGGTACAGGGCTACCCCACACCTCCTTTGAAGGAAAGTTCCCCACAAGGTTAGAGGTCTGAAGCAAAATGTTATAGAAAGAAGAGCAATTGAAAAAACCAGAAGGGAAAGGTTTCCAAATTTGCAAGTAGAAGAAAATTGTATTGCATCTCGAATCATAGTAGGCCGATAATAACCTAACCTTTTTAATTGGCCTGCAACTTTTGGTTTGGCTTGATGAGCTCCACATGTGCTTGAATGAATTTCATATAATGCATTTCTTGCCTCTTCATTAGATAGACATCTTAACAAGATTCTACCAAAGGATCTTCTATATAAGGTGTCACCGAAATAAGTGAAATGTGGGGCCCATCGATGTATATCGATTCTTTTCTTTGGATTTGTAGGTAATCTCCCATATTGTAAATAATTGATAATGGGTTGTCTCCAATTTGTTTCTTCTTCGATCCAATACACTATGACCATGTTAACATTGACAGCTTCTAGTAATATACCCCTTAGATTTTTGCAGTTAACACAATTCCTTAAGATGCAGATAGCATCTAAGATGATAGTGGGCCAAACATAGCCCAATTCTTCTAAATGGCCTACCATTTCAGGGACTTTTTGATGTACATCACACTCTTTTGCGGAGAGCTTGTTGGACTTCATCTTCAGAAAAACACTTAAGTAGAATTCCATTTATGGATTTTCTATACAAAGTGCCTTTTATATATTTATAACGTTCAGCTTGGCGTAGTACATCAATACTCTTTCTAGGATCTACCGGAATGAGCTCATCTTGTAGATAATTGATTATGGGTGTTCTCCAATCTGAGGTTTCTCCTTCCGATTGAATTGTGACAAAGTTCACAAGCTCAGTTTCCCAACCTCTTTTGCTTATGGGGGGAAGAACAACCTTATCATTTTCTGACCTTGGAATGTGGCTCACTTGTATGCTGCTGAATTGAGATATCAACTCTCTAGCTCTTTTAAAGTAGGGAGTAAACTTAACTTTTTAACCCCATACAATTCATTTAACTGATTAACCACCAATTGAGAATCTCCAAAGACTTGTAAATATTTAATATTCATCTCCTGAGCCATTTCTAAGCCGATAATGGCTGCTTCATACTCGACTGTATTGTTTGAGCATAATGATGTGAGGGAGAAAGAATATGGAATTAAATCTCCTGTGGGAGTGATGAACACAATCCCTGCTCCTGTGCCTTGTTTTGAAGAAGCTCCATCAAAATAGAGTTGCCATGATCTTTCAGTTTCTATGTATAAGACCCTTTCGTCTGGAAGGTCTTCTGAAAGCTCAATGTTGTCTTTTACAGGATGAGCTGCTAAGAAGTCAGCTAAAGCTTGTCCTTTTATTGCATTTAAAGAAACATATTTTATCTCGAACTCAGATAAAATAAGTGACCATTTTTCCAGTCTCCTATTAGAACTTGCAGAGAGTAAATATTTGAGAGGACAAGCTTTAGAAATTAAAGTAACTGGACGTGCAAGGAAATAATGTCATAACTTTTGAACAACAAATACTAAAGCTAAGCTTATGTGTTCAGCCCCAACTAAGGTCATGCTTTGATAATAAAGGGCATTTTCCCTTTCTTTGTCATTATTTTGAGCTAATAATGCCCCAGAGAATTTGGTGAAGTTGAAATATATAATATTAATGGCTTTCCTTTTATTGGTGCGGCAAGCACAGGCGAGTTTAACAAATAATTTTTTATGCTTTGGAAAGCATTTTGACATGCTTCATCCCATATAAAGGTGTATCCTTCCTCATCAATTTAGAGAAAGGGTGGCATCTACTAGACAAGTTGGAGATGAATCTCCTTATATAAGCAAGTCTCCCTGTTCTACATCCGCTGCTTCATTTATTTGATTCGGGAAGTTAGTGTCTTAGTTTCTCTTCTCCTCCCTTTTTTCTTCGTCCCGCATGGAATTCTGTTGTCTTGCCTCTGGCTTCTCCGCCACCACCAGGTAATCCTGCAGTTTATCTGCAGACCCTTTCCATCCTGTTTGGTTGTTACCTTCCGGGATGCAAATCAACTTTCTCTTCCCGTTCCCATAACACTCTATTAGCATTATGAACCATCCTTTTTTGTTATTTCTCAGTTCCTCCAAGAAACTCTTGCTCTCTTTGTTCATCTGTCCCTTCCAACCATTCATTTTTTTTGAGTATATTGCTGCATCAGCAAAGCCTTTTACCCAGGCTACCACTTCTCTAACTAGAAATACTGTGGACTTCTTTTCTTCCCAGATTTTCAGGCAGACCTGTCCATTATTCCTGCAATCTTCAAACACGAACCTCTTAGCCTTACAATCCTACCCCTTCCTCCATCTCGCCACCGGCTTTAACTCCCTCAGGTCTCCTAAGATTTGCCCCTTTTCCTCCTAAGGCCTCTCAGGTCTCCATGATCCCCATTAATTTGGGATGAATAGATAAACACTATTCCCTTTGTACCCTGAAATTTACTTGTTGCATGAATTTTTTCTTTTCATTTTCATGGAATTCATTTTGTTGTTGCTAATAAAGAAGTATCATTTTATAGTCAAATTGTTTTTGCCCATTTAATTTTGTCAGTGTTTAGACACTCATTAATAGGAAAAGAGGATCTTATTGAAGTTCACTATCTTCTGGTTTCCCTTTGCATATTTACTATAAATGGTGATATTGCCTTTTCATTTTCATTTTATAGGTGATGCATATACACGTACTTTGTCCCATGCAATTGAGAAGGCCTTGAAGGTATGCTTAACTCAATCTGGTCAAATTCATTTTTTTTTTCTGATTGATAATGAGATCAAAAGAACTTTATTAGAAGAAAAGCTGAAGAGAAAAAGTGCAAAAACGTAACTACCTACCTCCCCACGAGAGAACAAGAGAACCGTTAGTTGATCAATCAGTGCCCCCAATACACCCAGATAAACTAATCTAGTAGGGCCAAGCTCTAGTAAATCTCACTTCTACCCACATCGCCCAGCAAATCTGCCAACTTGTTGTTTGATCTTTGACCCAGTGAAACAAGCTGTTCCCTCTGGTTGCCAAAAAGCTATAATCTCTGATAACATGCTGGAAAACTGAAGACCCTTCCCTATCTCATATTCACTGATTCGCCACCTGGGAGCTCCCCTCAACTTCCAACTTGCAGTAGTTTAGAAGTAAATCAAGTGGATGCCCTAAGAAGTATGCATAGAGTTTTTATGGCCTATGGGGATGGAATAGAACTATGAACCCACCTTTTGGCTTCTGAAAACATATCATACTCCTGAAGGAAGGCTTTCGCAATGAGCAGCCATCAGTGAAGCATAATTTCTCCTTGAGAGGGAGGAACCAAGGCTGAGGGGTAGAGAGGAAGAAGAGGGAAGAAAGTTTGAAGAAAGGTGTAATAGGAGGGAGGTGGGATGGAGATGATGATGGTTAGGAAATTGGAAAGTCTTGTTAGGAAAGCCTTTGTAGCCTTTGAAAGGAAGAGGAAGGAAGAAAGTTTGAGGAAAGCTGCTGATGCTCTTGAAGGAGAAAGATGGGACGAGGAGGGAGGCTGTGAAAGTGTGAAAAGTTTGGAGAGATTGAAGATTAATTGTGCTTCATTGGTGCAGATTGCTTATGTAGTATCAGTGCAAATTTGTTTTCTTTTGAGCTTTTCTTCTGAAGTTTTGTGTTAGCATGGTTGGAAGTCTTTCCAGGGTGCTTGTGGGGTGTTAACTTAGCACCTGTTATAAAATTTTCCTTCTACTTATCAAAAAAAAAAAAAAAAAAGAAGACGGTGATGGCCAGGAGGAGGCGTTTGAAGGGGAAGATTAGGGTCTTATTTCCGCTAGGCTAGGTTCATTTTGTTCGCGTTGCAGGTGATCAATGGTGAAGTTGTCTGAGGAGCTGGTACCAGAGGAGTTAGTTCTTCTCTGGACAAGTTTTTTTTTTTTTTTTTTTTTTTGTAGTTTGCTGATGTTGTTGTGAAAGTTGTGTTTCAGTTTGTCTTCTCCTCTCGGGTGATATTTTTTCACCTTCCTTTTTGTTTTCTCTTTTTATTTTTAATGGAATTTTTAGCTTACTCTTAAGAAAAAAAACTCTGACCACATCATTGGTGGAAAACTCTCAACTTTGTCTAGTTCATCACAAGGTTGTATGATACTTTTTGCTAATTGTAGATCTGATGTTAGACACAGTCTTATTTGAACCTTTTCAGCTTAAAGGTACTGGTGGATCTAAAAGACAGCATGTGCATGGTTGCAGCCTTGTGCGGGCAAGACAGTTTTATGGTTACCATTCGTCTGAGGAGCTATTTGTAAAGATATACCTGTATCCAAAATCTCATTCATCATTTTACGTAAACTCAGGCTAATTTTATATTCTATTTTTTTGACAGTTATCTTTTCCCTCTTTTTTCCTGTCTAAGTTTCTAACATATTTCTGTTTATCTTATTTCTGAACTTAGTTTCCATTTGCTTTAGCATTATTATGTATGTGGAATGCTTCTGCTCAATTACATAATTTTCTAATAGATCATGCATTCTTATAGCACACCAAGAAATATACATCTGAGGAGTTTTTGACTTTATACATGCAATTGTAACTGGGAAAATGGACCTTCCTGTTGTTTCCACTTCTGATCAAAGAAAAAGAAAGTCTGTGCACCTCTCTATCAAACAACCAATTCAATATTTAGAAGGCAACAACCGAAAATCGATATTTATTAATCTAAACTAATATTAAGGTTTACAGCACAGATCTGGGAAGAGCTAGCTGCAGTTAGGGGCCTTTGGGAGGGACCATGGTGCTTGGGAGGGGATCTCAATGTGATAAGGTACACAAATCAGACAAACAACCCCAATCAATCCATAACGACAAGTATGAGACACTTCAACTCCTTGATTGAGTCCCTAGAACTAAGAGAACCCACCTTGTTACAAGTCTCTTTCACCTGATCAAATCTTTAGGAAAGTCAAGTGTGCTCAAAGTTGAATTGGTTCCTTTTCTCCATTAATTGGGAGGAGTTGTGGGGAAACTTAACACTGAAAGCCCTTCCTAGAGTAACCTCCAATCACTTCCCCTAAGTCTTTACCAAGAAAATCTTATTGGAAGCCTTACACCCTTTAGATTTGAGAATATGTGGCTGGAAGTCCCAAACTTTGTGCAAAAGGTAAAGATTGGTGGTCAGAAGGTGGAATAAGTGCTAGGAAAGGGGTGAGATTCACAAAGAAGTTGAAAAGATTGAAGGAAAAGGTCAAGGAGTGGAATAAAGAAGAATTTGGAAAACTGAGGTCATAAGGGAGGAATTAGCCAGGAAAATAGAGGAATTGGACCAAAAGGAAGCCCGTAAAGTGTGCAAGCCGGATGATAGATCAGAAAGATGGAACTTAAAAGTGCAACTAGAGGAGATCCTAAGGAAGGAAGAAATTTCTTGGAGACAAAAAATCAAAGTGTAAATGGCTTTTGGAGGGGGATGGAAACACCAAAATTTTCCACTCACTAGCAAATGGGAGAAGAAGAAAAAAAAAATCAAATCTCTAGCATTGAGGTGGAGGGAAGAGTAATAAACTCAAAGTAGGAAATTGAAAGGTGCTTTGTGGATCATTTCAATTCAATCCTTGCCTCCTCAGTTGAAAGCAATTTGGAATTGGGAGAATTACATTGTGTAAATGGCTTTTGGAGGGGGATGGAAACACCAAAATTTTCCACTCACTAGCAAATGGGAGAAGAAGAAAAAAAAAATCAAATCTCTAGCATTGAGGTGGAGGGAAGAGTAATAAACTCAAAGTAGGAAATTGAAAGGTGCTTTGTGGATCATTTCAATTCAATCCTTGCCTCCTCAGTTGAAAGCAATTTGGAATTGGGAGAATTACATTGTGATAGTGCCGGAATCCAAAGCTGTCCTCTTAGAAAGAGTTTTTAGTGTAGAGGAGGTCCATGAAGCAATTTTCTTGATCGATAGATCTAAAGCTCTGGGGCTAGATGGTTTCTCAATGGCTTTCTATCAAGATTGCTGGGAAATCTTAAAAGATGATTTTATGGATGTCTTTGTTGAGTTCCATAAAAAAAGGGGGAATCTCTCCAGGAGCAAATGCAACTTTTCTTGCTCTAATGTCTAAAAAGAAAGAGGCCAAAACCCCTAAGGACTACAGACCGATAAGTCTTGTGGGTAGCATGTTAAAGATCATTGCAGAAGTTCTGGCTGGTTGGTTGAAGACTGTCTTGCCCTTTGTCATTTCTTAGAACCAAGGAGCTTTTGTAGAAGGGAGACAAATAGTGGATCAAATCTTAGTGGCAAATGAATGTGTGGCAACGAAGGAAAAACAAGGCGACAAAGTCTTGATTTGTAAATTGGACATAGAGAAAGCCTACGAATTGGTGGATTGGTCCTTCCTATTGAATCTCATGGAAAAGATGGGTCTAGGTGAAAGATGGAGACTGTGGATTAAAGGATTGTTTAGCTCGACACATTTTCCTGTCCTTTTAAACGGGGTAGCAAAGGACTTCTTCCCGGCTAAAAGAGGATTGAGACAAGGTGACCCCTTAAGAGGATTGGACTTCGGTAGTGGAGAGATTTGAGAAGAGGCTTGCGTCCTGGAAGAGAGATTATCTTTCCTTAAGAGGGAGAGTCACTCTGATTAGGTCCACCCTAGCTAACTTACCTGTGTATTATTTGTCAGTGTTTAAGATCCCCACCAAGGTCTCCAACTTACTGGAAAAATTAATGAGGAATTTTCTGTGGGAGCCGGGAGAGGAGAAGAGAGATCATAGGGTGAGATTGGAGGTGGTAATTAGATGTAAAAAACTAGGAGGTCTTGGGATTGGAAACATCAAGAAAAGGAATATGGCGTTGTTGGGAAAATGGTTGTGGAGGTTCA